GTGTTGTAGAAATTTTAAATATAAAAACGGTGAATATCTCCGGCTGGAGACTGGAAGAAGGTGGCGGCCTGAAATTTAAAATCATCTTTAGATCTCTTCCTATGTTCTCTCTTATGACCTCATCCTTACATAGTGGCAGAAATAGAAAGTTTTAATCGGAAAGAATGGAAAAAAGAGAAAAAGAAAAAGAAGGTGAGAAATGAAATTTAGGAAATTTATAAAATTATTATAATGGTAAGAAGTATTTCAATCCATAAATCGTATACATTTCTTACCATTACCACAATTGGACCTCGTCAGTACGACGGTAATTGAAGTTAGTGAAAGTTAGGGTCAAATTAACTCAAATTTTTTTCCTCCTAATATAGAGAATAAGTTAGCAAATCATGATTAAGTACAATCATCTTCTGTACACGTTAACTTAATCCGAAATAGCCTATATGTTCATGTGTTTTTTTGATAAATTCACCTTATTGTAAGCTAATTTTTATGGCTGTAAAAACTCACGTAATTACACTCCTCTTCATCTGTTACATCGCTACGAATGATGGATATTGACTGAAGATGTGTAATTCTGGATCCAAAGGCCTGGACATAGCTGCGCCGATGTATGTGAGGACATGCTAGTAACAACATTGGCGCGAAATCCACAGACAAATCCGAACGCTTTAGTATTCTTGATATTTTTATTTATTATTATACTGATATTATCATTATTATTGTTAGTTTTGCTAGTAGTACTATTACTAATTAAAGAATTTGCAAGTAGCATAATTTCGCGATATTTTGTTTGTAGATATGCAAGCGAAATTCCAAAAAATGCTTTCGCTTTGGTTGTCGGTGGTGGTATTGTTGGTACATCAGTAGCATACCATTTGACGCTTCGTGGTGTTCGTAATGTTGTTTTGCTGGAAAAAGGCAAACTAGCATCGGGAACAACATATCATTCGGTTTTTTTTTTTACATTAAAATTTTTAAGTGTTGTGAATTTCTACGTCAAAATCTTTAAGTATTGGTTTTTTTACGTCAAAATCTTCAAGTGTTGGTTTTTTTACGCTAAAATTTTTGAGTGTTGCAAATTCTTGCGTCAGAATCTCTAAGTTTTGTTTTTTTTTTTTACGTCAAAATCTTTAAGTGCTGGCTTTTTTTACGCTAAAATTTTTGAGTGTTGCAAATTTTTGCATCAGAATCTTTAAGTTGTGTTTTTTTTACGTCAAAATCTTTAAGTGTTGGTTTTTTTTATGTCAAAGTCTTTAAGTGTTGGCCGGAGCCCATTTTTATTTTTCTTCATTCTTGTTATTCCCCAATGATGCGCTATATAGTTTACATCGGGTCCATAGCTCGGTGGTCTTTAGTGTTTTACCAGTTTGCTGGTCAGTTTGACTTTGGTTCATACCAGCCAATTTTAGAGGCACAAAATGCGGCACAGTGTTTTCTTCGTATGCCTGGAACAGTTAGGGTTTCCACATTGCTGTCCCTGAACACTGACCAGTCCGTTACTTTTCCCGTACCGCGCTGAAACGCCTGTTCAGGAACTTTGTTTTTGTTTTCAGGATAAACAGCACGAAATTAGGCGTTTCGGAGATTTATCTATAAAAGATTATTAATAATAGTAGCAATCTATGCTTGTTTTGATTTAAAAAAAAAAAATGTCGTTACAGCCAGGTTTGGTGAGCTCTGCACATCCGGTACATCGTTACAAGCCATTTCTTGCTTGGTCCGTCGAACTTTATGCACGCCTGGATGAAGAAACGGGAAAGGTCTTTTAATTTTTGTTCATTTTGCTCTTGGTAAATTACTAATATGAGGTCTCCAGGCTGTTTTTCCAGAGAGCGTAGATATTGCTGATATTTTATCGTTGTCCGTTTATGTCCAGTCTTTCAGTTCATATCTTTTTTTTGTGTTTTACAAGTCTTAGGTTTTATTCAGCTCAGTTGTCATTTATTTAGTTCGTAAAATTTTATTTAAGCCATTTGTTTCCGTTTGAAATTATCGTGCGAAAAACTAGATTTAACTCAACCAGTAAAAAATCACCGAGTTTTTCGCTTGCAACTAATCAGAAAGGGTCGTGTATGTTTTGTGATTATTCTATGTGCTTTACTGCGGTTGTGTATAGATTCTGTTTTAGAAAGTGGAGTTTTCCCGTCCAGGGACTTTAAGATTGGCGACAAATGATGTTCGTTTGGATGAATTCCGGCGCTACACAGCTCGTGATTATTTTCAGGTTTTTTTTTCCATCTTTTCACTCAAAGAGATTTAAAAAATTTTTGTCTTTTGTCTTAATTGCTGATTTTCTTCCAACAGAAGTAATGTGTCTTTAGTCTTTCGTTTTTGATGCTTCATATTTTGAGTGGTAGATGATGGACCGCTAACTGTTAGTTTGAAAGCGTCATCGAGAAAACCAATTCCTCTGCTATTCATTTATGCTTTCAGTGGTAAATTTACATGTCTGCAAGTGGCAGAGGTTATAGTTACAAGGTGTCTTTTTGTTGTACAGAAGTGGTAGCATATAAGACAAAATGGTGGTGTTTAAACATGCGTTTACGGCTTCTCATCAAAAAAGCCTTCCCTCTTATTTTCCGAAGGAGAACAACCGTTGTGTTGATAATTTTTTCAGTAAAAGAAAAGGATATCAGCATCGCCAGCAGGCTGACTAACTGATGATAGGCATTGGTTAGAACAGCTGAAGTGCTGCCAGCTTTATTGCTTAAGAACCGAAGTATGCATTTGCAATTAATGCAGCTATTCTAAGAAGTAGTAATGGGGCATGCTAGGAAGTCAGGACCGCCATAAGTTTGCTGTGTAAGCAACCTTAAGAAGGTAGCGAACCTTGTCAACGAATATTATTACCAACGAGTGTCAGTCCTTTATCGAGGGAGCTCTCAACATAACAAGAATTTGTACGCTTTATTTTTTTTTTTGTTTTCAAGAAAGGTGATGTAGCGAAGACTACATTGATCGATGCGGATGAGGTGAAGCGATTAGCGCCTATCATCGACACAACATCAGTGCTTGGTGCCTTGTATACTTCCGGTGATGGCTTCATCAACGCACAAAGTCTTACACGAGCGCTGGCCGAAGGAGCGGAAAAA